GGGGTCGCCGTGCCCTTCCCCGTCAGGGTGGCGGGCGGGCGGCCGCAGTTCTGGCCGGGGGTGCGGTGAAGGCCGCTGCCCCGCCCCGCAAGCAGCTGCTGCGTTGCTGCAGGCGCTGAGTAAAACGGCCGAGCTCGCAGGTACGAACCGTGCTGCCCAGTGCTCATCTGACAGCAGCGATCAGCGCTTCTGCCCGGCCGCGTTGTAATGGCGTGCTGAAAAAGCAATAGAAACCAGGTTGGTTTGATTCAAGGACGGCCTCGAGAAAGCACATTCGGTATTAGAGTTCAAATCATTCTTCTTACTGTGATTATGTATAAAAGCTTTTGCACTGAAGAAGTATAAAAAAAAGCAATGGCATCGATACAAACCGAGAAACAACAGTTTGTTTCTTGCTACGAAAGACTTCAGAAAGGCAATAAACGAGTACTGGTTTTAACCTTTAGCATTGCTTCATGCTATGTTATTTTCCTGCCCAGAGAATTTTGATTAAAAATTTTCCAGTTCATCTCCTGAAGCCCTTTCTCTTAAGGAGAAATTTGCAGGGATTTTCCTCACGTGGCAGCAGGGCTTTCCTGTGTCCCGTGTCCCGCAGCCCCTGCAGCCCAGTGCCAGCTGCTGCCGGGGGAACTGGCCCAGCACCCAGCCCAGTTCGCAGTGCGGGGAGGTGGATGCTTCTGCTGGCCCAAGGGGACAGAGGTGTGAGTGGGGGACAGCGCCTAGGGGACCTTAAACATCTGTTACTGTACATTCATCATCTGGAACAGGAAGGCAAGAACTTTGCTTGTGTAAAAAAACCAAACACCTTGATATTGTAATTGGATCTTTGTAGAGCAGCCTCTGAAGAGTTGTACTGACTTTCTTCCACAAGTAAAAAATTGATAATCTATATTTTTACAAAGTACAGCTCAGGAGTTAAAAAAGAGGTAAATGTGTAACAATAGCTGGGATATGGATTTTGCTTAAGTCCTTTACTGTACATGCGAGGGGTAAAACCTGGTGATTTACTTCAGTCAATCCTCTATTTGCTTCCCTTCCTCTCTGGCCATCAGTGAAGCGGAGCTGGTGCAGCTGAACGCTCCAGTCCTGACTTGGAGCCCCACAGCGTAGCCACGGGGCTGTAACGGTGAAAAGCAGCCGTTCAGTCCAGACCAGACGTGTGATCCTCTTTCAGTTCTGCTGACGCGTGAACAGAGATCTCCAAAACTTAAAGATCAATTAATCTTAAATTTATTATTTAGAAATACTTTCAAGTAAAATATTAAGGGTATGTAATTACTAAAATACAATGTTATTCCTTGAGACAAAGCAGTGAAAGGTTGCGAACGCTTTCCCGAGTCACCGAGAGAGCGGAGGGCAGGAGCGCTGTGCAGCCCGTGTGTGTCGGTGGCACTGAGACGCTGCGTTTCTCCCACGTGGGAAGCCTTTTCCCTTTGGAATGACCCTCTGGGTGTTTGGATTCAGCTCATTAGAGAGTTTTCTTAGACAGCTTTCTGAGACTTTTTTTTATCTTTCTGGGTATTATTTAGTGGATGAAGATGATAATTATTCAAAACCACTACAAAACTTTTTATTTCAAGGATTAGGAGATTTCCACCCTTTCAAGTAGCAAAAGGGTGCTTTCATAAAACTGCATTTCCCATCGTGCACAAGGGCTCGCAGGGCTGGGCCAGCTGGTCTCGATTGTGCAATGTTCCTGGTTTCCTGTCCCACATGCGTGGAAATGACTCGTGTCTCTGAATGTCTCATCTTCCCCTCGTCAGGTGATTTAACGGCTGTGGACCAGAATTCTGATTTTAGAACACTGGCAAGAAACTGAGCTGAAAACTAGCTTGGTATCTGGAAACCTGCTTCGCTCTGGGGAAAGAGATGTCATGAAGAAGCGACATGCTGCAGTCTGCTCTGTTGACTGCATGGGAGACGGTAGAGAGAAGCTTGGGCTTTACCTCTTGTACCAGACCTTGCTTCATGGGTTTTTTTTGTTTTGTGTTACTGATTTTGCTGTACGTGATTTAAGAGGGTTAACGGATGTCTTGATTAGTTGATGGCTGTGTCCTTGCAGCAAATAAGTAGCCCTAAGTAATCATATTTTTTGAAGCTTGCTTATTTTGTTTCATTCTTTTTGCTTGTTTGTGTTTAACAGAGGTGAAGAGGCAACTTTTAAAAGAAAATAGAGCTTTTCCAGAGTGAAGCTGAAGACTTGTCAAGAAAACACAAAATGTCTCCTGAATCAAAAAAACTTTTCAATATAATTATTTTGGGAGTCTCGTTTATGTTTATATTCACTGCTTTCCAGACATGTGGTAATATTGCGGTAGGTGTGAATTTCAAAACGTGCCACATTTCTGTCACAGTTATTCATAATTTCTTGTCTTTTGTGTACTCTAATGTAAGAGTTGCTTTACTTGGGGTTTTTTTTGGGACATTTGTCTCCTTTCTTCTGGTTTAGAGTTAATGAGATTAAGTTGTTAACTGGATAATTAAGCATTTTATTTCTTTAAGATAGCATAGCAGCATATGTAATTGTGCCTGATTGCTTAGGAAGTAGAAAATTAATGAATCCTATCAATTGTTTCAACCTTAAAATAGTGTCTGTTTTCACACTTGCAGTATTTAACAATTGTATTAGCTCAGACCTTCTGTATTTCTGATGATTCTGTATAGTTTCTTTCAGAATATTTGCCTAAGTTGTTACTATTAACCATGCCCCTAGTTTTTCCTAGAGTGTTTTTCCTAATCTAACATATTTTTCTGTGGTAACAAGCTAGACATTGAGGGGGAGTATGATGATAACATCTGATAAGTAGTCAGACTTCCACAATTCTAGAACTGCCAAGTCACCTTCTGTCTCAGTAAACAATTAACTGCTTTACTATTATGTGTCTCTGCATGCTGAAGCGAGATTGGGCATAACATAATCCAAATTTACTATTAAAAGCAGACTGTACTACTTAAATTTTTGGAATCCTGCTACTGACATATGTAGCCCAGATCCTCTTAACTTGCCGAGTTGTTGGCATTGCTCTCAGTGTTAGTTACATGCCTGAAGGACAGTTAGATTTCAGCACACCTCTGGAGCCTACAGGTCTTACAGCTTCTCTCTTCTTGCATGCAAGAAGAATCCTTTCTGGGTTCAGACATATAAATGTTCTTCACTGCATTACAGAAGTAACTACTTAGGGTAGTTCCTGTAAAAGTCAGTGCAGCGTGATGCTGTACATGTGTGTGCAAGTGCAGGTCAGTGAGCTTAGAAGTTCGGCAGTGAATTCACAGCACCTCACCCAGCTGGACCTAGCAATGGTGCAATCATGTAACTGGTTGTCATTAAAGTCATTACAACTGACTTTCAGTCGGAACTGCCCACCAGTCCAACTAATGACATGGTCTCGTGATCAGAAAGCTGATTCAAGGGGAAAAACAGGAACAGGGAAATAATGGGAAACGGAAAAGAACAGAAACTCTTATCAGAAGCTCATAGTTAGGTCAAATTAAGAGTATTTTGAAACTTCTCCTTTCTTTTCCACTTTTTAAATTAAGAGAGTCACATATACTTACCTAAGAGAGGTGTTTTATGAAACAAAAGTTTTGTGAAATATTTTAAAGTCCCTGATGAAGTCATGGTATAATCCTAAAGTACTAGTTACTGCTTCAAACAGATGTTTCCCTGCCAAGTATCTCCTTCACCTTCATTGTGGAGGTTTTGTGAGTTGTAATTAATGCTTTAAATTATTTTAAGTGCTTTGTAGAGTCTATTAATGATTAATTGTAACGTTTAGTACTGACCTCAGACAAATGCAAGTGTTCTCAAACTAATGATTTTCTTCTTACAGCAAACTGTTATCACAAATTTGAACAACACAGATTTTCATGGCAGCGGCTACACAAGGTAATTTACACAGATCTCCTTATTCCTGTGCTCCTTGCAGGGCAAAGCGAGATATGATGTCGTCTGGCAGAGATATACTCTCAACAAATTGTAGTGTTCTGCTGACTTCACGATTTCATAAGATACTTAAAGCAGTTTAAAACATTGGCTTCTCACGTTCACTCTAGTGCTACTCTGAATTATTTCTAGTTGAACTACATATCTGTTTTGCATGTTTTCTTTGTAGGGAGAAAAAACACCATACGGTCATCACATTCTCTGCATTTTATCTTAGGAGATAAAGAATGTGGAATTTTTAAAATAAATAAAACTGCTGACTGAGGCCTTGGTTGTTTGCCCTCGTACACCTCTGTGTGTTTGTGTAGGATAGGCAGTGTGGATCAACTTTCAGGAAATACTGCAACAGAAATGTGAAAGGAGCAGTTGGAAGGACGAGAAGCAAAGCCACAAACAGCCGTTCTGTTTGTTTGTGGCACTGGCAGAGCCAAACTCGCAGAGCACGATCGGGACTGTCTGTACGCCGAATTAAGCTGTCGTATAGGAAAACCTGGTTGCTGCTTTGAAGGGTTTACTGTCTTAATTTAAACTGAATATAGAACTGGCACAAAATATATCTATAAAATTTCTGTGATGTGTTTGGCAGAGAATGAAAACCTCACTGACAGATGAATGAGGCTCTGGGTCATTCTCCTCTAGAAGTACTGGGCGCAAAATACAGTAACTGTTGTTAGGGCGCAGTTTGACAAGCGCGTGTTGTAAGTTACAAGACGTGCTTGCTGCCGTAGTTTGGAGCTCTGTTCAGCAGTCCAGGAAACGCCATACCCTCCTGTATGCCCACGTAGAGTGCAGTGAGTGAAGGTAGCAGAGGGAAGGGAGGAAATGTTTGACCATGAAAGTTACACAGTTACTTCTGTATGTGCTTAACGTGGTACTTTGGAATGGACTGAGCATTCTTAAATTAGTTACACCCTGTATTTTAGGCACCTAATCATCTTTTGGTGTTTATTTATGTAGCATGTCTATTATTTATGGGGTATTCTCTGCATCGAACCTTGTATCACCTTCAGTGGTTGCGATAGTAGGACCTCAACTCTCGATGGTTGTTAGCGGCATATTTTATAGGTAAGTAATAATTTTGAATTTCTGTCTGCTTCCTTTGAAACCTTCTTTCGTTTTTTCTGAGTCTACCATTCTGTACGTGAAATTGCACTGGCTGAGGAAGGCAACTGGCTGTATCAGTAGATGTGTAACTGCAGGGTGCTTCAGCCTGCTGGAAACAGGTTGTGGTCTCAGATTAATGATTACATAAAAAAAAATTCTGCATCCTTAGTGGAGTAAAAAGATTACCTTTTTTCATATACAATCTGAACTATTTTCCAACGTCACTTGAGAGAGGGTAGCTGATTTAGAAGAAGCTGAGATACCTGATTGTTAAAGAGTGTTGTCCACTTTAAGTCTATTTGCAATAAACTGATCTGTTCTATTCCAGCCTATACATTGCAGTTTTTATCCAGCCTGCTACATGGGCTTTCTACACTGCTTCTGTTTTTATTGGCATTGCAGCTGCTGGTAAGCATTGTTCTTACCCTGCTTGTTACTCTTTGCTACGTGACCTCTAAAATATTTTTATTTCGTGAGCAATATATTCTGTATATTTCAGTACTGTGGACGGCACAGGGAAATTGCTTGACTGTAAATTCTGATGAAAACACCATTGGAAGGAACAGTGGAGTATTTTGGGCACTGTTACAGTCCAGGTAAGCTTTACTTGTTAATCTTTTGTTGGTTGCATACGCATTCTACTTCTTACATTTTTTGGTAAGCGGGAGACTGCATCTAAAAATGCTCCACTGGTACCCTGCAGGCAGTGAAATGGGAGAGAAGGCTGGAAGCAACATTTCTATTGCTATTGTGCGTTATAGAACAACGAATTGAAGTTACATATTGCAAGGCTCTGCTCTCGACATGCTAAAAAGACACATTTCTGTTAAGGGAGCATTCGACCTGTGCAACAGATATCTTGTTGATTGTGGAGCCCTGTGCTAATTTGTGTCAGGATCCTGCATGCACCAATAAACCCTAATGATCCTGAACAACCTCACCTGGCACCTCCACCATACCCTTCCCCTCTGCCCATGGGCCCAGAAGCCCCATTTAAATTCAGCCCTGGGCCTTCAGCTCCTCTGGATGTGGAGCTCAGTCACAGCTGTGCCTGGCTTTGGCTTTTGTTGGTCTGGACTGACTTCCTACCTTGGCTTTGTTCTGACTTGTCGTTGTGGACCTGTGTGGCGATCCCTGGACCGGACTCTGGCCTGTGGACTGACTTCTCGTCTTGACCTGAGACCTGCCTCATCAGCACTGACTCGTGTGATGGTCTGGACTCTTGGTTGACCCTGCCTGCAGTCTTCGGGTCTGCCCTGCTTGCTTTGCTCGAGTAGTGCAGAGCTGAGCTGTAGCTGGTGAGGCCCCTTTTCTGCTGGATGCGTTATCCCACTTGGCTCTTAGCCCTCCTTCCCTGAGGGAGCAGCTGGGCTTTGCTGCTCACTGGCAAGCTGAAGTGAAAATGCTAAAGTTGGACCTGACAGTCAGAAAAGAGATCTTGGTGGTGGTAGTTTTCTGCTGTTAAGCTTTGAGTGCTGCATCAACCAAAAAAGCCAACGGAAGGCTCAGCATCAAGAAAGGTGGTGAGAGCAAGGCAGCGGACACTGCATTGCTGCTGTGGAGTATTTTGTGCCGATATGGTTTGTGCCCCTTGTGAGAGTGTAATGTAGTTAGGGTTTAGGGAAAAAGAACAAAAATGTGCAAGAAGATAGAGCTGCTGACTTGGAGAGAGACTAAAAAGGCTGGGGCTCTTTTCTTTGGAGAAAAAGCATCTGAGGAGGATTATACTGATGGGTTACTAAAACACAAAGGCAGCAGGTGAGCTGAATGTAGAACTGTTGCTCCCCCAGTGCTGCTGTACTAGAACTCGGGTCATTTGGTGAAACTAGATGAGGGTTGGTTTGAAACAGATAAAGTGCTTCTTTACACAATGGGTGATTAAACTTTGGAGCTTGCTGCTGCAGGAGGGTGTAGAATTGGGTGGTGTCAGCAAGATCAGATGAATTCTTTGGCAACAGGTCCACAGATGTTTCCTGGAGAGAGACACCTTTTACCCCCCCTAATACAGCGGTTCTGGATGCTGGGAGATAACGAGGGGAATGAATCGCAGGAAGCGCTGAGGCTGGTGAGCCTGCACTAGGTGGCATTGCTAACGCTGCTGTGGGGACAGCAGAACGTCAGTCTGAACCAGCAGCGTACTTCTGGTGTTCCTGGAGTTTCAGGTTCCACAATTAACACATCAGTATGTCATCAGAGTAGCAATTTCTGCAAACTCAACTAATTGTGTGTTTTACAGTGAGTAAAATGTGTGGTTTTGTATGAAGAGACTTGACTTTGAGGCTGTTTTGAATCACTGTTCATTCAGCATTACAGTATTGCAGGAAACTGTAGGTAGGAGCACAGAATTTCCCTTGAGCTGTTAACAATCAGTGTAGCATCGCTGGGAAATACTTTGGACAGGATGTATGACTGTTCTAAGGAAGTACTACAAAATCATCTGCATAAATATGTTGGCTCTCTAACTTATACCCCTCTAAAATTAGAGAGGCAATTTAGATGCAGATTTCCTCATTTTTGCTACCAACTTGTGTCTGGATTGCTGTAAATGAATAGCCAGCATTATGGGGGAGAATCCTCTCTGTGTTGAAGTTTTATGTAGAGTTTGCATGGAGAGTGACTCGTGTGTTTATTTCTCTCACAATTGTCCTGTGCTGCTTTTTGCGTAGAATAACATTACTGTGATGCCACAGCCTTAATCCCGCCACAAAAGTGCTGTTCACCTTTGTTGTCCTTTTTGCTTACAGCTTGTTTTTTGGAAACCTCTATATATACTTCGCTTGGCAAGGAAAGACGCGCATATCAGGTGCGTAATGCTTGTTTATATGGGAGGCCATCCCTTCAAATATGGTAGCATGAATAAACAGGTCACATAATGAACTGGAAAGCGTCAAGAAACTTACACAATAGCAGACTTTTTTTTTTCCAGTTCATTGTTAGGTAGACTCTGCTTTTGGAGTGTGCTTTTGGTTCAGTGTTCCGTGGAACTCGTGGCCCTTGTATTATGCATTATGTTGTTTTCCTGTATGCAATGCGCTTTGAGTACCGTCTTTTAGGATATTATCTATGAAATTTTTCAGAATGCTAGTTTAGAATAAGGTTTTCCACAATAGCTACTCTGGGATTTTCCTGGCGCAGACAGGCGAATGCCAAAATACACATATTTTGGGGGAAAGATATTCTGAAATGGCTACGTGTTTAATATACACGCTGTCCTGTTCCAAAGTAAGTTCCTGGTGTAGAGCATCCTTCTAAGTCAGCTTGGAGACTGATTAACCTCCAAAATAATGGAAACAAAAGGAAACCCGTCCTAGTTCCCTTCATGGCTGCACTGATCGTTGTGCTGGCACAAAGCAGTAGCAGGACAGAGGTTGAGATGTGTGGCTGGCCTGAGAGTGGGCTGCTGCTGCTTCGGCTGGCAGCATCGCTGGAAGAG